CACACACACACACACACACGCACACACACACACACACACACACACACACAAAAATCAAAAATATTGCGAAATATGAGAGGAGTGTTGAGGGATTTCAGCTTTTCTTCTATTCAGAAGTATTCGGACGAGGTTTGAGGCACAAAACATTGTGCGGGACCTCAAATTAGCCAGCATCAAAGTCTTGCATCGCTTTTTTCTTTGCCTTTTATGCGACACCTATCCCAAAAGACAAATCGTGAGATTCAATTTATGATGCACCGACTCGGTGCCGAATGAATTCATTAAAATGAGCTTGTCACTTCAAGTTTAGCAGTATGTTACCCCTCACCCCTCCACTCCCCCCATGGAATGTGAGAGCCTCCCCTGGATGCACGAATTTCAGGGGTCCGTGAGAATCGGTGCCAAATGTGTCCAAATTGATTTGCAGGGAAAACATCTCAAATTGTGGGTTTTTTTTTTTCATCCCCTCCTTTTAATAGAAACTTCACAGCGCAAGAAATGAGCGCGTCACAAAATCCCACCCGCTGATTCTCTGCTTTCACATGCTCTCCACCTCCATGTTCTCCTTGTGCCTGTGTGGGTTTTCTGCGGGTTTTCCTCTCACATTTCAAAAACACGCACAGTAGGTTGATTGAGCACCAGTCTAAATTGTCCCTCGGTGTGATTGTGAGTGTGTGCCTTGCAACCAGTTCAGGGTGTACCCGCCTGCTGCCCGAAGGCGAAGGCGGCTGGGATAGGCTCTAGCACGCTCTGACACCCTTGTGAGGATAAGTAGGTTCAGATAATGGATGGATTTTGGTTTTTCATCTTGTTCATCGAACGTGAACATTTTAGAATATCTTCTAGCTCCATATTTTTGAACTTTTCCATTTTGGCATTTTTGACCTTGGCAACTTTTTTGTCCGATGCCTCCAAAAAATAGTTGTACTTCCTCCCCAATTTTAGTCAATTATCTCTTCCCAGACGTACTTTAGGGATAAACCCATGTGCTCTTATCCAAGCATGTGACAATTTTTTAAATTTCAAATGTACATTTTCTGTTCATCAGCCATAGTGGGAAAAAAATCACACATACATACAGTGTATAAACGTTTCACATATTCCAATAGAGGTCTGCGTGGAGGTAATAAATCTCTCAAATAAACTTTTTTTTCCCTTTTTTTTTTGTGGTGGGTCCGCAGAATGACAAATTCCACCTTTAAACGTGATTGGAATCGAAACAGGTGCCACCAGCAATGACTCCACTACCTTAAAAATGTAATGAGGGGGGATTAAAGTCCTATAAATGAACATGTCCAAGTCTGCCTGGACTTTTCTTCTCTTCTTCCTCCCCCTCCTCCTCCTCCTCCTCCCCCTACTCCTCCTCCTCGTCTTTTGTGCACGTGTTGATTGTGCAGATGTGTATTGCGACGGCAGACGAGGCTTATCCTCCCCTCGGCTGATTAATTCCCCCATCACCGCAATACACAACTTAAAAAAGCTTTCGGTGCATTGTTGGACTGCTCCTTATTATTTTTAGACGTGCCTTTTAATTAAACAGCATCTGTCCTAACTGTGATTTACTCCTCACCCCCCTGCCGCCCCCCCCCTACACACACACATACTCCATGTAGTAATCCCCCTCTTGAGAGGTGACCCCCGAGGCTTCTTCCAACATGACACCAGCTCTTAAAGCAACTTTGCCCCCTTCCTTTTCATGCAGAATGTGTGTGCTTATTTTAATTAAATATCACAAGATGTATTGTAGCTTAACAATAGAGTAAACACGCTAAACAAACTCCCAAATAATCTCAGCGGTTCATCCTCCGATCTGATCTTCACCAGCGGCCGTACGGCAGATTCCAACCGGGTGGACGCATCTTTACTTCCCGACTTGCTCAACCGGGCACTCCCCGTCGAAACGTCCGCGTTTGGAAACGCTGGTGAATCATTACTTATTGTGTTGCCTGTGCAAATTTCCACTTTTGGCACCCCTAAAATACATTTGTATAATGTTTAATTAAACTTGACCAGAATAAGCATGAATTCATGTCATTGTTTCTCATTCCTATTCAGAATGTGTTCTTATTTTAATTTATTTAAGAGTAAATACAGTCATCAAGAGGGGTGGGGGCAAATCAAGAATTCATCTTCCGTGTAGTGGATCCTAACCGGGACGTAGGGTCGCCTGCGAGCCGAGCGACGGCGTCTCATCCCTGACTTGCTCGGACGCTGAGAGTCCCCACCTAAACCTCCATATGTTGACACGTTTGTGAATTATTCTATTTGAAGTTATGCAACCATGTTAATATGCAATGTGTGCTTTTGCCCCAAATTTATATATATTTTTATGTTATTATTATGCAGCATTACTCACTGCCTTGACACTCAACATCTCACTCCTGCTATGCAGAATATTTGTGGTTATTTTAGTTAAAACGCGATACAACAAAGAGTGTTGGAGCTTAAAAATTGACAGAGAGGGGGAAATAAAAAAAATTATATTTGTAAAAAAGCCCATCTTCTCACCGGTGCATGCATGCGGCCGCTTGAAGTGGAGCGAAGGCCGTTTATCTTCGGTTTGTCAGATGGACTCCCTGCGCCGAAACCTCCATGTTTTGACACGCTGTGTTGTTTTTAATTCATGCAACAATGAATGCATGCAATTGCGCCTTCTCGTTTAACGTTTGCCTTATTGGAATGCAGAATGGACTTGACTACTTCCCCCTTTCTTGCCGAACATTTGTATTGTTTATTATGAGAACAAAATCGATATTTAAAATCATAATACAGCCGACAGTCATCGGGGAAAAAGGTTCAGTATATCTTTTCCTCCACGCGGTGCTCCCTCGCCGGAGCTTGCAGCGGCTTGTACCGGAGAGAAGGTGTGTCGTCCCAGGCCTACACGGTTGGAAAATCCCCGCCGAAACATCCGTGTTTGGACAGTTTGATGAGTCATCTACAGGTATGCTTGCGTTATGCAACAATGCATTTATGCAAATGAGCACTTTGGCCCGTCGGACCTTTGACCAAATGTATATACAGTACCTGTATATATTTTGTGTGGTTAAGACCCCCCCCCCCCCCCCCCCCCCTCCCCCCCCGACTCTCTTTTCCTCCCATTAAAATGTGCCCCCACCGCTGTTGTGTGTCTCCTGTTTGTTGATTCCGGGGCAGACAGACATGTATTCAGACTCGTGATGTGCCGCTCGCGTTGATGTGTACTGGCGCAGCCCGCCACAGAAAGTTTATTCACGCAAGTGGAGTGGTCACGTGTCCCTCCATATGTGGCAAACCGAGCAAAAGATGATTCAATAACAAGCAATGGAGGCTTTGAACAATATATTTACTCCCATTAAATAAAACACATTTGGGTGGGGGGGTGTCGGGGTTGGGCGATCCGTACCAAATATTTTACAGGAACATTTTAATGCGCTTTTTCTTCTTCTTCCTCTAGGATTACTAGTCTAAAATGTTCACACAGACATGAATAATAATAACTTTATATTATGTTAGAAACCCACCAATGCGGTGCGTTTTAGTATTTACACCCCCCTCTTCTCTTTTTTTTAACATTAGTTTGCAAGCAAAACATTGTTATTTATTCCCTACCACGCATGCGTTAATAAATTGAACCCCATCTTTGGAGATGTTTGGATATATACACGAGTTTTCAGACAACAAATCGGGGAATAAAACTTAAACAAAATAAAAACAAACATTTTCAGTGGTTCAGTTTTAAGTGCCCTTTTTTTGGAAGGGAAAAATAACAGAATACAATAATAATAGTAGTCTCTTGTTCCTGTGGATGAAACCTGACCACCATGACTGGCATTTGAGTTTTGGATCACTGTACATCCCCTTTGGGAAAATCGACGCTTAGTGTGGTAATTTCTGTCTGTCTGTCTGCCTGTCTGTCTCTCTCTCTCTCTCTCTCTCTCTCTCTCTCTCTCTCTCTCTCTACCCCCGAGGGTGGGCGTGAGTGGGGGTGGGGTGGGCTGTTTTTAGTGGGGTGCGCGCATCTCACACCGGCCTGTCCACGGCGTACTGGCATGCGCTCAGGTTCGTGGCGGGGCTCTGCACGCCGGCGTAGCCGAAGCTCGAATGCTGCTTGGCTTTCAGTCTCAGGCTGGCCAGGCTGGAGTTGCAAGTGTCCCGGTAGACGTAGGGCGGCGTGGGCGGCGCGTAGGGGCACGCCGGCGCCGCCACAGCCGAGTTGAGCGACGGCCCGCTGAGGTTGTTCAGGTTGTTGAGGCCGTTGAGGCTGGAGCCCGCCACGGCCGACGGCACCATGCCGGACGTCATGGACGAAATGGAGTTGGGCGGCGAGAACATGGCCTGCGACGACAGCGGGTTGACGTTCATGGAGTTGAAGAAGGGGAAGCTCTTGGTGGACAGCGAGGCCGACGTCAGGCCCTTGGCGGCCCAGTTGTTGTACGTGTAGCCCGGGTACATGTCGTCGTAGGGCTGCATGAGTCCGTTGAATTGCGGGCCGAAGCCGTTCTTGCACAGCTCGGCCTGCTGGTTACGCTCCCTCTTCCTCCACTTGGCGCGCCGGTTCTTGAACCAGACCTGACCAGGAGCACGAGGAGGAGGAGGAGGAAGAAAAAGAGAAAGAGGAAGGGGATGGGGACACCCGCACACACGGCGTTATTTTACCCCCTTCAAAATCACGACAAATGGACATTCCAGCAGGTCAGAAAGTCTCCCGGAGCCACGCTTGCAGCCGCTCAGCGCGTGCACATTTTCTATTTTGCGCATAAAGACACTATGCATTGCAAAAAAAAAAAAAAAAACTTTAAATAGTCACCTCAAAATTTGGAACAGTAGTTTTTTTGACCTAGGGAGTCGGTCCATAGGTTTTCCATTTTTAGCACGTGCAAAATGACAACCTACGCATTGTTAATTGTTGTATGTATTATTCTTGTTGAAAGAACCCGTGTCCAAAGGTACACGACCGTTCTAAAAAAATAATAATAATAATCATAATAATAATAATAATAATAATAGTAATAATGGGGATTTGTGTGGAAATGCCCCGCCCGCTCTTTGTAACCCACATTAATGTTTACATTAATAATAATAATAGTGATAAATGAACTGATGAAAAAGGTGAATTTCTGCACCCACAAACTGTGGAACACTCGTGTCCTATTTTGACTGTGCGTATTGGGTTACCGACATGACTACTCGTTAATTGTATTTAGTGCAGTACGTGAAACTAACGCTTGTGCAAATTGTTTCATTAACATCACTTTTATTGTTTAGTTAATATTATATTCATTTTATTCATTATAATTTGCATTTAAAATAAATAAACACACACGATATATATATAGTTTAGAAAGCTCCTAAATATATATATTTTAGATTTCCTATTTAATTACAGTATTTCTACACCAAAAAGACACAAATTTATAGACACGTGTTTTATGCCGACAATAACAATAATAATAAAATATATTGATAATAATAAACACAATTACAATTTGGGAAAACAAAATCTATAATGTCAGAATGTCTCCCAAACAGATTTATTGGCGGCACGGTTAATACTTACAAGCTTGTTTAAGTCCAAACTTTTAAATGTGTCCATTTAAGGCCGTTTGGGAGAATAAGCGTTTTTAAAAACACTCACCTTGCAATGTGGCAGGATCAACATTAAATTTGCGTACTTCCTAATTGCAAATAACTTGAAGAATACGGTAGCTTAGTTAGAACCCTCATATTCTGCCTTTATTAATATAAACAAAGGAAAAATAACACATGTATATGTGGCATGATAAATATTTACACATTTGCACGTTCCACTTGCAACGGCGTCTTTTATTTACAGTAATTTAACAAGTATGACCCCCAAAACACCCCTCAAATATAGCTCCTCAATATGTTCAAATGTGTGAATGTCTCAACTTTAAAGTGGCTTCACGAATAGAATAATGGACTTAAAAAACGACGTCCCCGAGACACATTTATAGGCAGCATGATTGAAACAAAACATGTTATTGTGCATGACCCATGTCAAAATGCTCATGTTAATTTAATAATATTCAATATATACTGCTTGCACGTGTTATGCTTTGTATCAAGTGGACACATATTTTGGTGGATTTATGTACTTTTGTCCGTTTTATTTTAGTATCAGGATGACATTCATTCAAGCTCACACATGCTATGTGATTGTGTAATATTCGACAAATACACATCACAATATTATTCCAGCCAATTCCGCTGCGCGGGACGGTCGAGCTTTTTGTGTTGTTATTTATTCGTCTCCTGTCTCGGTCCTTATCGGAACACAATCCACACACACTCACACACACACACACACACACACACACACAGACACGCGCGCACGCTTCTCCGTGACTAGTGTCAATTCCTCGCTAACTGCACCCCTCCCCCTTTCGAAATCTGGCGACAGTGTCCCAAAATGAGCAGCTTTGCACCTCTTTCACACCACACCCGCGGTATCTGTCACTCCCGTCACCCGCAAAGGAGCGCTCACCTCTAATTGGACAGACTAGACAGCACTACTCGGGTGAATTACTGAAAAAAAGAATGGGGAGGGGAAAGGCTATTTATCTTCCCATGTAGGGGTTGTCATTATATTAAATATTAATTTAAGCGGCATGTGATTGAATTGGGCTCGAGGCAGCGGTGTGTTTAAACAAGTGTGCGTGCATATTTGTTTTTCAGATAATCTGAGCGGAGGACACATTATTACATTAACGCCGTGCACGCCCGCCGAACAGACGCCCCCCCCCCTCCCTGAAATCACATTTCAAGGAATAGACAAGTTGTTTTTCAATAAATGATAGGTGGTGGTCTCGTAGCAATTTTATTTTGGCTGCACTTCTGATTGTACGCCGACAGCGATATATCAAACAAAAAAAAAAACAACAAAAAACAAAACATTGTGTACCACTGTGATATTTAGCTTCACAGATATTGATAGGCAGGTTGATAACGTGCTCTGCGAAAAAAATGCCCATTGTTGCAAATACAATTGTATAACAGCACTTAAAAGGATAGAAGTCAAAATTTCTCCATTTGTCGTACATTCACTTTATACTTCGAATGAAATGTCGTTCATGGACTATTTTGACATTTTACTCCTAATAAAATTGTGTTATTATGTACGATGTTCACATTTTACTCTGCTCTGAAATAGATTTTTTTTTTCACGTGCGATTGTCTTTCAAAAACCCTTTGTGCGTGTTTGTGTGTCATGAGTGGACTTGATGAAACATGTCTAACTTTCACTGTTTTGCCAATTTTTTTTTGAAAGTCACAAAAGCATGTTTTTATCGCAATCTTACTAAAGCAGTTTTATACATACACGTGTCACATTTTTGTTCCTTGAGGGAAGTCAATGTCTTATTTTCTGATTTTTGGCATACGCTTACGCTTAATCGTGCTCTGAAATGTTTTTATTTTTTGCTGCTGCAATTATAACGCAGAGAAAGGTGCCTCATTTTGTACCATTTCTGAAATGTAGTTTTTACGCTTCTTCATGTGCGCTGATTTTAAAGTTTTTTTCCACAAGTGCAATTATGCTTAAAATATAACATTCAATGGAGATACTGTTTTTTGTACTTTTTTCAATCTTAAATTGTACTCCTTAAAGGCATTAAACAAAAAACAATTATGTTTAAAATACGGATGTCGATGAAAAATGTATCGGTACTATTTTTGACATGCAGTTGTACTCATGATGCGCTCTGACTTGAAAGATACATTTTTAGCAACGAGAGATTGCAATGTAACTAAATTAAATTAGTATGCAATTAAATCAAAGACACACGTCTTAATTATTCACTATCTATATATAGCTATAAAAGTCCTAAGGAGGTAACCGTCTTATGTTTTTCATATTGCAGTCGCTTTGTCCCCCCCTTCAATTTAATCGTCTTTTGACAGAATGTAACATGTGGGTCTCGCTGTGTAGTTTAGACTCACCCGAACCCTGGCCTCGGTGAGGTTGGTCCACACGGCTATCTCCTCTCGAGTGCTCATGTCCGGGTATCGGTTTCGCTGGAAGGTGGCCTCCAGCTCCTGCAGCTGCTGGCTGGTGAAGTGAGTCCTCTGACGCCGCTGTCTCTTCTTCTTCGACGGGTCGTCAGAAGAGTCGTCGTTCTTGCTCTGGCTTTTCTCTTTCTCTGTTCAAAATAAATCAATCAAAACAATACATGAAGTGGTCTTTTTTTAGTGTGTCATTTGCATAAGAGTCACCAATTAATCCTTCATTTGCATATGTCAAACTGCGCTGCAAGTAACTCCCGTCTCCCATTCGCCTGTCTTCTTTTTGTCTTACCCACGGTTTCCGGGCTGGACGTGTCCGACACCGCGTGCGCGTCCATGCGGTGCTTGCCGGAGTCCACGGCTCGCACCAACGGCTGCAAACCGGACGCCATGGAGGAGGCGAGTTTAGTCCCGGTAAATGGGTGGTGCGGGTGGTGGTCTAGATTTAAAGGATCCCTCATAGAGTTCATCGGTCGCTCCCCGAAAAAACAACGCACAAAAAAAAATTTAAAAAGAAAAAGAAAGAAGAGTGTTTTGTAAATCCCGCTCCCGACAGCGAGGGTCTCCCCTTTGTCTTTTTAAGCCGGTCAAGAAAATGCTCGGACTCCGGGTTGCTTTTTAGACCGGGCCACCGTGGGGCGCTGCCATCCTAACGTCGGCGGTGGCTGGCGGGCGGCGGCTGACTAGTGGAGTGACAAGGACAGGTAGATGATATTGGAACCGGGGACGAGCACGCACAAGCACAACGCGCGAACACAACCCCCTCCAACTCTCTCTCTCTCTCTCTCTCTCTCTCTCTCTCTCTCTCTCACTCGCGCTCTCGACGTCACTGTCTATAGCCCTGCCCACTCGCTACCTTGACAGGCGCGTGCTTGAGGCGTCGAAGAGGAATGGCCCCCCAGCAGCCCAAGACCAAGACAAACAAACAAACAACAAGAAAGCAAAAAAAAGAAAAGTTTGAAAATGAAATCGCCACGAGAGGCTCTCTCTTAGTAACCGGACTCCCTTAAAAAAAGAAGCAAAAGCATCTTTCAATCCATTTAAAGGTGCACTCTTGCTGCACTACAAGATTAACCATCGCGTCAGAAACCATCCCCGAAAGGCCCAAAAGTGAGTTCGGTGCAAACAGAACCCGCCTCCAGTTCGATCGAGACGTGCTACAATTGTGATGCCCCCCTCAGAGAACATGGGTAAAAAAGGTGGTAGTTCGGGTCGTTGCCGTCGATGCAACGAACTCGTTTTGGGCTGTGATTCAGGCAGGAAACAAAGCCGATCCGAACCAGAACCGCCAATTGAAATGTCTCGGTCGGTGGAACGTGATGGAACTGGTTTCACTCCAGATCTGGTCTTCTAACGCAAATCATGCTGGTCATTCTCATGTTTCTGAATCTGTACTAAAATTGTAAATTGTTTTCACATTTAATAATGCTGGGATGTTGCAAACATTTTTGTTAATGAACCCCTTGTTAAATGAGTGGGACATAAATTGATACAATATTTTCCTTAATTTCTGATTTTAAAACTGTCCGTCTAGCAAGTTGTATGTAAATGTAATTGTACATTGTAGTTTCACAGTCCTGAGGAAAACCATCTAAAATCTTGTAAAAAAAATTGACACCGACTCTTGTTGAAAATTTGAAGTATAATATACACAAAAGTGAATTTTCGATCTACTGTATCTTTATTTTAAATGAAATTTCAGTCGACCATGAAGTCCATCTTTCCATTCCCGTGCAGCCATGTCCTGACGAGTCATTCAATTTAGATGCATGAGAAAACGACGCTATCATTAATCGTCCAAATAGTAGTATTAGTCTTTTTTCAGCTTTATTTTCATGTTGAAGTGGATTATGTCTTCCTCCTTGGACGCCTCCTCATCTTCCCTGTCTCCGCTTTACATGGGCCATTAATTAACAATTCAGTCAATAAAGCAGGGAGTAGGTGGGGTGCATGGAGGGGGGGGGGTGGAGGACGACAAGCCTTTTTAGGCGGGATTACGGACACATCACATTCCTCCATTAGCGTATTCCTGCTCACGAATGGCTTTCATTATACATGTGCTTTTTCCCCAGAGTGGAGAGCGCAACGAGAGCCGCATACATTACACGCACTGTTTCGGATGCGCACACACTGCTTGTCACGTTCTATTAGTCCTAATCAATCGTCATTAACAATAAGCGTGACACACGCCTCGGCTCAAATGCTGAAAAGTTATATCCGCGCATATACGAAAGAGTTATCATCATTATTTGCAATGGTGAGCGATCGTGTCGATTTCATGTTGTTAGATGAGAATTTGGCGTACAGCATTTTGTTGTGCCTTTTTGCCATTCAAACCCACTGTTTGTCTTCTGAAAATTGACGACCATCGTTACTGTTTATAAGGCCTTTTAAGCGCTCGTTGGTGCTGCTGTAAATCCGCAACTGGCCACCAGATGTCAGTATGAGACAATGAATAGCCAGGAGGTATCGGCTGCAAGTTTGAGGGTTCTTTCACCCGTGTGAAACCAGGCGCGAAATTCCAACGCGCTACCGCACAATCTTTCACATCATACATATTTTTTGTTTAAAAAACATGTCAATTCAAAGTATAAAGCAACGAAAGCAAATAAAGACCACTTTTTAGTGGGCTGGCGGGGACTTATTATTATTTTTTCAATTGTATTGAATTTTAATGTGTTGAGTTTTGTCTTTAACTTGGTATTCCTACATAATATGTCTGTGTCGATGATGCGTCCCAGTAAATGATGTCAAGCATTTTTAATAGACATTTTTCAACAAACTGTCCAATTCAAATTAATGTTGCCCGTGTAAAAAAGAAAGAAAGAAAAGCACAATATGTTGCTGCATATGCATTCATATTTTACCTATTTGTGCGCAGGTGGTGGCCAGTTTGCGGCAGTGGGACTCCATGATGACGGAGGAAACCTATTCTGCGCATGGGGAAACAAACAAAGAAAATCAAAATTAATAGAGGTAAACAGGGAACGCATACTGTGGAATAACATGACAAAGACAACATAGAGACAATATGAAAAATTATACGCTTAAAAACAATGTTTACAATTATTTTCATTCATTTGTTGAACATTTAGTTTGCGATGTAATTTTGTGCGCAATCGATGTATATTCAACAGTTGAAATCAATTTCAATAAAAGCAGCAATATTGTCGCAGTCGGGGGTTAAAATCAACATTTTCGTTTCCAGGTCACGTTTTTTTTTCTTGATGTTTTCGCGTATTTCAATCACTGGCAAAAAGGTGTTATTTACTCGTCATGTGTACAGTATGTCGCGCGTGCGCGTGACGTGGCTGCGCTAAAATCTCCCGGATTAAGGCTCTTGATTGAGATGTCAGTGTGTGGGTGCGTGAGCATATTACAAAATTCATTATAGGACGCCAACACAGATGGGCTTTTATTAGAATGTTTGCTTATGATAATGCAAATTTGCATGTCAGCGGCCGCCATTTTCTCCTCATCTTGCTGTTCGTCGTCTCCGTCATGCAAATATGACAGAACTTTTTACACGTCTTCATAAAGTCTGACAGCAAGAAGGTTATAATTTCGACCACTTTATTGGGCTATTTAGTATTTTTACCCCCTCCACTGAGATAATGTGCCAAACACCTTCTTGCGGAGTAATGACTACAACTAAACAAACGACGCTGTTCATACCTAAAAATATGAAGGATTGCACAATTCCGTACCACAGTGACTGTAATATCTGTCATGTGATTATATAATTCGTAAATAGATGTTTAACTCCATATTGGTCGCCTACTAATTGTCATATTCTTAACAACAATATTCAATACCAATTCATACATCCATCTGTCGTTTGTAATTTGACGTGGGGTGAGAAGGATGGGGGTTGGAGTGATCATGGCACCTGGCCCGGTGTCGACAGAAAGCCGGTCCTTGCACACGCGGGTCTGTGAACGCTTCCTGTTTCGTTATTTTTTTGCTTCAAGTATTGTATGGTATAATGGACAGTAGAGTGATTACTAGGACTACGTAATTATTATTTTAGAAATGGAGTTATTTATGTGTACATTTTTTGGAAGAGAGTGACCGAGTAGCCTCGCGTTTATCTTGAGTTACTGTTATCGAGCAGATTAAGTATTTAATTGTTTTTCTTCTTATTTTTTTCTTCACATTTCTGCTGTAAAAAAATGTTTTCATGTATTTTCATCATACCAATCTTCATTATTAGCGTTAATTAAGACTAACTTAGTCCTCCACTCACGTCATGTGTTCTTATTTAAAAGCCCAACGTGCAATTAACAGCGTAAACTAAACATTATTTCACTTTTAATAAATCATCATAGTCATCAATGAATAAAAACTTTCACCTCTCATCACTTCTTTTATGTTCGATTGACATTGTTGAATCCATGTTCACTTGCAATTAACTCAAAGAAATGGAGCCTTCCATCATCATCAATTAAATAATTTCAGACAAACTTTCTCTCCTTAGTTCGTAATTTATGCTAATTTTATTCATTAACGCACGTTGAATTGACACCATAGAAACGTGTCTTTAATTTAAAAAAACTCAAATATGTGGTATTTCCCAATATTCTAACAATACATCGTCATTATTATCATTTAAGTCACATCTTTCCGCCCTCCTTACGCCATTTAAGCAAAATCTTTCGTATATTCCATACGCAATTGACTCCTGTAGAAACCATATTCACTTTCTTAAGTCGATTTATATATATATATATATATATATACACACTCTGCAGACCAACGGTTTTGGTGAATTTATACTGTGTTGATCTCATCACATTTGTCTCGATCTGATCACTGACTTGGTATCAATTTTGTCAATATTTTTCAAAATATTGACAAAATTGATTAGACCACCACTATTCTGCAACTCCTGTGTGCAAGGTGTTAACGCGAAGGTAGATAAGGTATATTTTGATGGAGAAGATTGACTCTGATGATTTTTGATCGTATTTTTATGATTTATTATGTAGATGTTTTCCATTTTGTTTTGTGTAGAGTTTTGCATGCATCACATTGTGTTGTTGATGTATTTATTTGTATTTGCTTGGTGAGCCTTGCCAGCATTGCAAGAGAAAAATTTGTTCACACTTCTCTGACCGGGATAAATAAAGGTTGAAAAACACACACACACACACACACGTGTGTGTGTGTGTTTATTACGCTCTAATAACATACTAATTGCCATTATTGTCATTATTTAAGGCAGTCATGAGCGTCATACTGGCATTTATGCGCATTTCTGAGTACCACGCGTGCAACTGTCCCACAACCGATGGTCACTTTCATTTAGCTTATATGAAAAATGGCAGAAAGTACAGAAATAAGCACATTGTCTTACCACGCGTGGCCGTCTATCGTTATGTGTTTGATGAGATAAATTCCACCGTGCGAAACACACATATAGTGCGCAACTGGAACGTCCTGCTTGTCGCCGTCGATTTTTGTTTTATCCCCAAAATAAAGAAAGCAAAACGGTAAACTTCATCCCCCCCAAAAATTGTCAGGGAGCAAGTCCACGCACTCTTTCCGCTGCTCTTCTTCTCCTCTTCTGTACGCCCCAACTTTTTTTCCGCTCTGAAAGACTCTCCGTTTCTCCCCCTCGCCACCCCGCCCCCCCATCTCTCGTTGCCTGCGTGCGCCTGAAAGTGGGTGTGCTAGTGCACCCAGGGGCGGCACAAGAAGAGCCTAAATAACGACTAAATCAGCCCCACTGCAATTAAAGTCAACACATTAGTGGCCCATTTTCTCCCCACTCATATTTACACGTGGAACCAGTTAGTCGTAAAATACGCACGACCCCCCCCAATATTCGTATGTTAAGTCAGGAGTGCAGCAGAGACCGGACGTGCACCCACCCTCTCCTTCTAATCC